TAAGACATTACGGAGTAGTTAATAAAACCTAATATTGTATTAAATGCTATCTTACCAACAAAAAACAATATGTACATAATGTCCACTCTGGAATATTAAATGTTTTGTGTGGAGTCCCGCACGGATCAATTCTTGGTCCACTCCTTTTTTATATATATTTAATTGACTTCTGTAATGCATATTTAAAACTGAATTCAGTCATGTTTGCAGATGACACGAATCTATTTCTTACCAACAATGATATCAAAACATTATATGCTGACATGAATATAGAACTAGTTAAAGTAAACAACTGGTTTAAAGCTAACAAACTCTCGCTTAATGCTGAAAAAACAAATTATATACTATTCCATAAAAACATAGAAGAGGAAAAATCTTTCTCTCAAATTGCCTAAACTATTCCTAAATGATAAACTAATTAAAAAGCAATCCAATATAAAATTCTTAAAAATCATTGTTGATGAAAACTTATCTTGCGTTCCTCATAAAATATACATACAGTCAAAAATCACTAAAATCATCGGTTTGATGCATCGAGTTCGCTCTTACGTCAATTCACAAAGTCTGAAATTAATCTACTTTGGGCTAATACATAGCTTCATCAGCTATGCAAACATATTATGGGCAAGTACTCAAACATCAAGCTTAAAATAACTGTATAGTTTGCAAAAACATGCTTGCAGAATCATTTACTATAAGGATAAGCGTGAACACGCTAAACCTATATATATATATATATATATATATATATATATATATATATATATATATATATATATATATATATATATATATATATATATATATATATATATATATATATATATATATATATATATATATATATATATATATATATATATATATATATATATATATATATATATATATATATATATATATATATATATATAAATATATATATATATATATATATATATATATATATATATATATATATATATGTATATATATATTAATATAATGTATATATATATATATATATATATATATATATATATATATATATATATATATATATATATATATATATATATATATATAATATATATATATATTGTCGTCTTAAAAAAATATCTATTGAATATTTATCTAACTGCATCCTAAGTTAAACCATGTGATATTGTAAAATTGCGAATTTTAACAACATTACATTAAAAAGGCAACATAAGACCTTAAGCATAACTAGTAAAGTCACTCATACGTATTTGAGTTCTTAAGATGCAATATGAACGGTCGAACATGTAATATAGACATTGAATTAACGTGGAATCAACGTCGATATTAATTAATAGTTTTCAAACAAAATTTCAATGTTGATACAATGTTGAATTTTGGTTATACGACGTCGCGACTAAAATTCAACCGTAATTCAAAGTCGAAATAACGTCGTGTGCCTACTGGGAAGAGATTGGCCTATAATTACCTAGATCTGTGTGTAAACCTTTTTTAACTATTGGTGTGATGTTTGCCTGTTTCCGAACATAAGGAACCAGGCCTGACTCAAATGAATTTATAAACAAAACTGAAAGCGGTACACTAAAACCTCTGATACAGTTTTTTAATACAAAAAAATGGATGTCATAAATACCAGTATCTTTGGTATTATCTAACTTAGAAAGTAGTAATTCAAATTTATTTGGACAAAATATATTAATCTATAGTGTTTAAGTGCTTTAAGGTTCGGTTCGAAGCAGGCTTTAGTACAAAAAAGAAAGTCCGGATTAACTGGGTTATTGGTATGTTCAGAGAATTATTTAAAAATCTAGTCATTCTGACAATCAGCAACAGTTTTTTATCAACAAATTCAGTACCAACAGAATTAATAAGCGATCAAATTTCACTATAACAAGGTTTTAGGCTGTTCACATAAACATAGAGCTTCTTTGGATTGGGTTTACACAACTTTATTCATATCGTTTTCGTAGTTTAAAACAGCCTCTCTAACTAACTTCTTGACTGATCGATTTTGCCAATAGTACAATATACGAATTTTATCTTTATAATTAGAAAAACAACATCGCAATTTTATAAACAGCCTATTTTTCTCTCTAGACGCAGTTCTAATCTCAGCATTAAACCATTTTAGATTACATTAACTTGGTCTAAACGAGGTAGTTTGCTTAGAAATAAATTGTTCACAAAGAAAGGTGTATGGTAATATGAATAATCAAAAGCACTCATCAACTTACTTATTATTAAACATCTCAATCTAATGCATCAAGAGCTAGACTAAAATTATTATATACTCCTTTTTCATGGATAAAATTTGTTTTATGAAGAACATGTACATTGAATCGAGAAGTTAGTCTAAAGTCCCATAGCAATATATAATGAAGGCAACTTTTCGCTGTTCAGCCAACAGCTGGCCCAACAACAACAATGACAATGCAATTAGGATTGTAAATAAAAAACCAAATCTAAAGTGTTGTTGAGAAAAGTAGGTTCAGTAACAAACTAGGTGAGAAAACAATCTCTAATATTTTTCAGTAATTCACGACTAGCAGGTTTTTCTTTCATACAATGATCACCTAAGTGGGTCCATTTAATATAAATATATATATATATATATATATATATTTGACGAATATTTTGAAATACATATATATATATATATATATATATATATATATATATATATATATATATAAATATATATATATATATATATATATATATATATATATATATATATAAATAAATATATATATATATATATATACATATACATATATATATATATATATATATATATATATATATATATATATATATATATATATATATATATATATATATATATATATATATATATATATATATATATATATATATATATATATATATATATGTATATATATATATATATATATATATATATATATATATATATGTATATGTATATATATATATATATTTATTTATATATATATATATATATATATATATATATATATATATATATATATATATATATATATATATATATATATATATATATATATATATATATATATATATATATATATATATATATATATATATATATATATATATATATATATGTATATATATATATATATATATATATATATATATATATGTATATGTATATATATATATATATATTTATATATATATATATATATATATATATATATATATATATATATATATATATATATATATATATATATATATATATATATATATATATATATATATATATATATATATATATATATATATATATATATATATGTATATATATATATATATATATATATATATATATATATATATATATATATATATATATATATATATATATATATATATTTAAACAGTTTTCCGTGTTTTGTTTAAAATAAGGTATTAAATGATCTTGTTCTTGATTATTCAACATAGAGTTGGCCGTTTTTGATGCAGGTGTTTTGGGGATAAACACCAACTTTATTAAGATTTTGACTTTTATCTAAAGTTTGGTTTTTAAAAAATCATCATCTTCGAATTTTTAAAAATAAAAACTATAGATTAATATATTTTAAATGTAATTGACAAAAGAATTGAATTGTGATATTTTTAAAATGCAAATTACCTGTTTTTAAAAGTTACTTTACAAATTAAAAAATGACAAAATATTTATCTTTTACGTCAAAATTATAACTCTACAAATTATTATCTAAAATAAAATTGCAAGGTTTTATAATTGATTAAGTAGATAAAGGTTTAAGCAAACCTTGTAATAAGTGCTCATGCATTATATATTGGTATGTAATTCACTAGATATAAATCGCTTGTTATAACAATACCATTTGAATAATGTCTACTTATTATAAATATGATGACAAGAGTTGAATAGTGTTTAAAACTTTTCTATAAATATTCAGCTGCTCCATGGGTTGGTGGTACTAATACAAAATATAAAAATATAGTAACATAGTTTTTCACATAACTTCTAGTGCATTCCCACAACGTTTCTGTGGTAATTTGTTATTTTATCATGTTTCTTTATGACATATATATAGTATAATGTAGCCTTTAAATAAAATAATTTCAAATGCGTACGAAAGACGCAAAGTTTCAGAAAATAAGAAACAATTAAAAAAGTTTGGATTTGAATTACAAGTTTTTCATTATATGAGACCCTTTTAAAACATTATCACAAACTTCAGATTGGCGAGTTAACTGTAAATGGATGACCACGTGAAAAAGAATCAGTAGTAGTAGTGACTGGATTAACAATAATACTTTTAAAACTAAACAATCAGCGAAAGTACTGCCTAAAAATACTGTAAAACCAAGAATGCAATAGCAGAGCCAGTTGCTGTTTAAGCAAATGGTATTCGAAACAGTAAAGTTGTGCTAAAAGAAGTTGATAAGCCAGCAGCACTTGCACAGACATAATTAATGGATCAATTTTTATCTACTGTTTCCTACTTGCTTTTTAGTTAATTAAAATGCTTCTCTACTGCACCTAACACTTTTCAAATACATAGCTATGTAACGCTTCTACAATTATTAGAAATTGCTTTATAATCTAATTTGAAACTAATAAAGTAAATAAGCAATGTTGAAAATATATTAAATAATGCGAATACAAACGTTTTTTGAACAATCCCGTCATTGCTTTCTTATGCAAACTAATATATAAGTATTATCTAATAATGCATAATTTTAAATACTAAAAGTTTATAAGAATGTTTATGCCTAAAAACGACTACAAAACAAAGAATTATGAAAGAAGATGTAAATTATTTGTACATATGTTTAATTAGAAGCCAAAAAAATCAAAAGTTTTGGTTTAGTAGCTTTTAGCCTCCCTTCCTTCATTCCCGCACTTGTCTACAACCATAATAATTATGCAGAATAAAAATATCAATTTCAGTGAAAATTTATTTAGATAATATGCTTTGGAATTATATTTAATTAACATACTATTGAATTATTTTAAAGCTAAACTTTTTCATTTTGTTTAGCGCACAAAGAAATTAATCCTCCTCTAGGTAAGTAATGAAAATTATTTAACTTATATATTTTTTAAAATAAACTATATCTTATGCATAGTAAACATAATTTGAGTTAAAATATGAAAATAACGAATAAGTATATTTTACTTGTTTTTTGTATTAATAAATGATTTTTTTTTTTAATTATATAAAAACAATTGTTTTGTGAATATTTATATATATATATATATATATATATATATATATATATATATATATATATATATATATGCAATGTGATACAAAATACAAAAATATTTAAACCTCAAATTTGTATATATATATATATATATATATATATATATATATATATATATATATATATATATATATATATATATATATATATATATATATATTTGAAAAATTTATACTTATAGAAATCCCCTGATTTGTATTATATAAAATATTATTTTAAAACTTAAAAATAATACTTTTCGATTTTGTTTAGTCCCTAATCCAACTCCAGATTGTCCACGTAAGTAATAAAAATATTATTTAACTTATACTAGTTTTTATTTGTATGTTTTATGTTATGCACCATGAAAATTGAATTGATAAAATTAGAAACAAAGTTTTTTTTTTTTAATGTATAATTAAATGACTAGCTGTCAAGACCCATGCTTTGCAAGTCATGATTAGTTTGTTCCATACTCTATTATTCTTATCTTCATTTCAACTTGGTCTCTATACTTCAATAAAGTTTAGTAGGCGGAAAACAGTTAAACAAATTTAAGTACTTGGCTTTTAGTTACAATTAAAGTATTATGCTTTAAAACTTAACTTATATACTTTAATAATTTTTACTTGAAAAATTTTTTTATATGGAAGACAGTTGCGTAACTTTTTTAAGGTGTTTTAAAGTTTAACCTCTTTATCAAGATTTATAAAAAAAAACAAAAATGGACACACAAAAAAAAAAAAACTCACGAGTTATTAATAGAAGTTTTGAATATAAACTCTTTAAAAAAATAAACAATTAAAACATTAAAAAAAAGATAAACCTTTATGGTTTTTTTTATTAAAATTCAATTCTTGACTCTTTCTTAATGATTATATATAGTCAGTTTTAGTTTAAAAATGACCCCATTATCAATTTTAAAAATAGACACCGGCGTCAAGTTAAACCACATTGTCTATCAACATAAAGTGCTGATAGACGAGATGGTTTAATTTCACAATAACAGCATCATGAAACAACATAAAGACTTGCAGTAAACTCTGGATTAATAAAACTTCTAAGAAAGGTATAAGTTTTTTAAAAATTGTTAGAACTATTGCAATATAAATCGATGAATAAAGGCTAAGCTGGACTTTAATAATTAGTTTGAGTTATTAAGGTTTATCAAGTTATCCTAAGTTTATTGTACATATTTTATTTACT